CATACTGCAACATTACAATTCAAATGAAGTATAAAATAATAATAAAAGCTTTAAAATATCAGGACTGCAATTATAGTGGAAGTTGTTAATGAATTTTTTTTAGCAACATATCATCAAACTAAGCTTTTTATCACCTTATTCTGACTTTTCTGCTGAATACAAAACCTTATTGGTTCTTACAGTTCAAAAGAGTTTTCATTAAGTGTTTAGATCAGTAGCCTATAACTTCTTGTACCTGAGATATAGGCAATTACATCACACCACGACAGCCAAGGTTTAGAAACAGTGCTTGTACAAAAATCAATAAAACTACATTTGTACTTAAGTTAGAAGGGCAAATTAGCACTATTTTGTTCAAAATTATTAGGACTTTCCTCCTAAGGGACTACCAAAACATTTTTATTGAGTCAATTTTAACTCTGAATTTGTTTAAATGTTTTCTGTCATTTTTAAATTCAACTTCAAGTGAAGGCTGAAAAAATTCTCTTACATATCCAGCACAAAGTTTTTGTTACAAGTCCCAGAAGCAAGCAGCAGAGTCATAAAGTCTAATTTACCAATGGCAAATAGTGTTTCCAAATCAAGCTTTGCTTTGCTTGTTAGATTGACACCATATCATAACCAGAGCTTAGTGAGATTTACTAATAAATTATTCATCAGGCTCATTAATCGGTTATATTCAAGTGAGGCTATGCATAAAGAATCAATTAACATCAAGGAAGTTTTATGCAAAAATAAGTTTCCATGTTTTACGTTTGAAAAAATACTTTGTACATATTTAAATAACCAAAGTGTTCATATAGTAAATCCAACTGACATGTCTAAATAACATCTGGTCATTAATTTAATATTTATGGGTAAATATTCTTTAGTTATAAAGAATCAGTTGAAACAGTATACCTGATAGGTTTACCCACAGATACAGTTAAGATGTGTTTAAATCTAATTGTCTCATCAAACCTTTCTGTACATTTAAGGACCAATTCTTTACAATCATTGTTAGTAGTTTGTAAGATTGTTCTTCCTGTTAGCAAGGTTATATTGGTTTTACAAAAAGGAATGTATTAACACTCTAAAGCAACACTGGTTATGTTTGTAGCTTGTAAAAAGTAAACAACATTAAGTTAAAGCTACACTATTGTATGGTCCAGACAAAGTAAACACAAACAGTAGGCCACATTGTGGATAGTTATGTAACCAAGTACCACTAGGTCACATGCTCACATTAGTGAATTGTGTACATACCGTTGAGTATTTGTAGTGTTGGAAGTAGTTCTTGTTATCGTGTCATGTAAATTTAATTGATATGTATCTGAAGCTAAACAAATTTGTCTTATTCGATGACGAGGAACCCACTTT